TGCTCGGCAGCCTGATGATGTGGGCAGAGAAGGAAAAGCTGATCCTCTGGACAGGAACCTGCCACGGCTGTAGGAGATCTGCTTTTAATTCTCTTTGATTCAGGTTTCCTCTCTGTCCCTGGGCAAGTCACTTAATCCCTCAGCTTGTCACTTTTTTTGGATGGAAGTGGACAAGCTGGACACTTCCACGCATCACAAGAAGCTGAATTTAAAATTGAAGATATTCCAATAAGCCTTGTCTAAAGCTAATGCATTACAGATAAAAGCCAACTAATTAGTAATAATAACAATAACTTCACCACCTTAAGTGAATTTGAATTGTATTTGATTTTTTTGCATTTATTTTCTGTGAAATGATTTGGTTGATCTTGGCAATAGATAATGAGCTTTTTCACATAGGTTTCTCCCAAAGACATAAGGCTGGCATAAATTTTAAAAAGAATCATTAATGGGAAGCACCTGAATCCAACTGATTCCTCTCAAATCTGTATCTCGTGATCCTTTTCTAGCATTGATGAAATTTGTGAGGCAGTCATGTAATTAGCATTTTGTGCTAGAGCATGATGAACTAGAGGTAACCTCAAATACTTTTGAAGATACTGTCACGCAATAACTTCTGTATTGCCTAGCTTCCTGCCAAGAAAAAGCTCGATAATTAATGCACTGTTTTCTGAATGCTGGCATAGGACTTTCCCTGAATTATGTCTCCTTGACCCTATAAAACCAACAAATATCTGAGGAATACAATAGTAGGTCTAGGGAGATTTTACAGAGTGAATTCACAAGAGCTTCTCTGAAACTATGGTATGGGCATCCTAAGTGCTGTAAAGGTTTAAAGCTTGCTTTCAGCTTTCCTTAGATAGCTTTATTGTTCGGTGCTGATGGGCCCCGAAAAGATTCGATGTGACGCTCTGCAGAAATTAATGTCTGCAAATCCCAAACTCAATGAGACGGACCTTCCTGCCATCAGGTAACAACACAAAGCGGATCACGTTCCCCAATACTTCTAGCACAAGACTGCTTTAGCTGTGTTTCTGTGATGAATTTCCCTGAAACTTTTAGATTTCTGTGTCTACATGCATAAACTGAGCACCGTGTATGTATTAAACTCTTCAATTCCAGGAAGCACTGTGCTTACTGAAAACAGACTGGCTGTTGATTCGAGCATGTGCAAGGTGTCCATCTGCTTCCTGGAACCATCAGACCTCCTGTGTCGCACACGTGTAGAAAATCTGCAGCTTTTGAGAAAATTTAATATGTTGAATGCTCTTCTGCTGGTCTGGATCTGTAGAAATATCTGGAATTTAAAGGTGCTCGGCTGCCTGGTTGCAAGTCCTGTGCATTAGCTTCTGCTAATCGTCCAGACACTCTGAGCACACGACTACACACAGAGTTCCCCTTCCCCACCACGGCGCATGTGGCTTTAAGACAGAAGATGCCACTTCTGAGGGGAACCTGAATTTACAGCAGCCTTCTTAATATTGGCAGAAGCTGGTTTTCTTACGACACTGGAAAAGAGGGGGAAGAATTTAAGCCCCTAGAGGCAGTTTTGCATTTTGTGCCAGTGGGAGAAGGATCTGGTCCCCTGTGAGGTTTTTATGCTGCATCTCAACGAATGCAAACTGGATGCTTATTCCCTACAGGCAAGTGCAGTTAATAGGATGTGGTGTGTGATCTAATACATTGCGCTGATTTATCTCCTCTCATGACCCTCTGTATTCCTTCTATACCGCAAACGTACAAGACTGGATGTAGTCCCATTTATATTTTAATTGGCAGACTGCCTCTGAAAAGCATGTTACTTGTTGCCACTCAAGATGGAAAGTGTGTACAACTGATTAGTATACATTTTCCTCTGGGAGAAGTTTGAACCTTGGTAACTGTAGGGAGTGAGAAAATTAAAATATGGTAAATAAGTCTTAGATTGGAAATAGTGTTTTAACAGCAACATTTTCTCATGCCAGTAAATTGAGCTGGTTCTTTTAAAACTTTCTGTATGTGCCATGATTTTCTTACACAATTCTCAATTATAAAGAATGTCACTGTTGTCTTGTTTTCATGTGACTCTCATATTCTGTTTGAATTTCTTTTCCAGGTGTAGAGTAATGAATATGGTGTATTGTGTTTGCCCTCCTAATCATTGTTGTGCAGTTGAAGTGAAAAAAGTTCTGTAATACTTCAGAAGCAATGATGTTCTTTGGTTTGTGATATTGCCTCTCTTGGTCACTTAACTCGGTTTTGAAAAATTGCCAAGAATATTAAAACAAAACCAAACACAAACTTGTAAAGTTCTTTACAAGAGTTAGCAGAAACTTGTATAGCGCACCAAAGTCCTTGTCTATTTTGTTGTATGTGATTTTACAGCCATGAAGACTTGAGATGCCAGTATGGCACTTCACAGATCTCCAGTAAATCCTTTACTCCAGGAGATCTTCCATCGACAGGCAGACAATTAGTATTTTCAGAGTGCTGCTAACTTGTTAAAGTTGTTTAACAAATGTTGAAGTAGTGTGTGCGTTACAAGTGATAGATATATCCATCTTTTCAATACAATAATAAAAAGTTCTGTCTGCTTGGCAATAGTCAAGATTTTTCCATTTGAACTAACATGAATGGCAAAATCCAGTCATTGAAGAAGGCTGGTGAAAGATTTACAAAGGACTGGTTTAGTGTGTAAAACAAAGTTGGGTTTGTTCAGTCATTTTTTCAAAAATCACATGATATCTCTGACTTTCGAGGGTATCAGTATACTACATACAGAAGTGCTTTTCTAAATCCTACTAAACACCTAATCTTTGGGTTTAGGTGTCATTGTAAGTCTGGACATCCATTTGAATCTTTTGTGTAAGTGGCACCACTGTTACTCAGAAAATGAAATAGCAGATGGCAATCCAAAGTTTTGTTTTCTGCTGCCATGCATTGACTTAGGCATTATCTGAAGGTCACTATTTTGTACAAGGTGAAGCTGGGTGAACTTGTGCTGATCTTGTGGCTGATGAATTTGCTCTTGTTCCACCCCTGCCCCTTTTTTGGTCTTCACTAGAAGCCTGACCCTCTTTTAGTGAACACATAAAGGCTGGTTTGTCCCATTGTACATAAGCACAGTAGAATGAGTGTGTGTGTTTGCAGGTAGTTTGCTAATATTACTTGATTTTAAGAGGGAAAAGCAAAACACAGTTGTATTTGTACGGGTGCAGAACAAGTGGAAATTTTTCTTAGGTGTGTCTGTCCTTCCAGGTACTCCCTGATCTCCAATCCATGTGTTCTGATGCTTCTCCCATAACTGCCCAAATTGCCCCTCTTCTCTCTAGTCCCAGAAGTTTTCCTTACCCTGGTTTCACTCCCAGCAATCTGACTGTGTAGCTTACCTAAGAATGCGTGTTCAGGAATAACTTCTCTAGAGGAGTGCTGGTTACGCACGATCAGTTTATATGAATAACTTCTCTAGAGGAGTGCTGGTTACGCATGATCAGTTTATATACATGAAAATAGAATTTAATCATCCTGGACTGACTTTACGGTACAAAGATACCTCCAAGCCACAACTCTCCTTCAAGTCACTGCCTGTTGAAACCAGGGAGGTGTTAGAGGAAAAAAAATAAATTACTGCTGCCCTCTCAGACCAAGAAATATGAGAGTCAGGGCATTATCTTCTCTGCAGCTGTATACACATCACCATGGGGAATGCCTAGACAGTGTAAAAGCTAGGTAGCTTTAACTCCTCTCCGAATATAGGAAGCGGCATTTTATTTCTCCTCATGCTCTTCTTTAGCTGAATACAGACAAGGTGCAATTTAAGTATGAATGAAGATTTTGCTTTTTTAGATTAAAGGGGATTTTGCTGTAAATCAGATAACAGGCCACTAGAAAGATCCGCCTATTGAAGATTGATCTAGATATTGTAGCAGTGCACTGGTACTGTGATCGATTGGACTCTGGTGTGCAGAGACAGAATTGTCTCTTTGTTCGTATCTATTGCTAATAAATACAAGGATGACTGCAGGCTCCAGTCATTCTTGTATTGGAAGAAATGGAAATTTTGCTGGTTGAAATTCATGGACTTTTCATCCTAGAGGATTTATTATTTTTTTCCATTCTCTCTGATAATAACAGCAGAAATAATAAATAATCTGCACCTGAAAAGGTAAGACTTTTTGAACACTGGATGCATCTGTTCTAGATAAGCAATTTATCCCAAAATCTGCATATAAAAGGAAAGAAGAGCAGTAATCTCTCACCTGCTACAATCTCAGAATATTATCTTGTTTTTTTTGCTTTTGTGTGCTGGGCTTTTTTAATTATCTGTTGAATCTAGATTTGTATGTCACTTTTTCAGCCAAGTGTTGACCTGACTTTGCCAGCTGGGATTTCCATTACTACCAGTCTTACAAGCTTTCTTACAGTAAACGCAATTTGCAGTCATTCTAAGTTATTTTTTCATAACTTAGATGCTCTTTGTCTTTTTCAAGGAGTAACTGGGTGACCTCTTACAGAGTATTGGTGAGCAATGACAGTCATGCATGGACTGCTGTCAGAAATGAATCTGGAGATGTGGTGAGTATCACGAAACAGACGTTTTATGAAGAGCAGAGGTGGGAAAGTGGGGGCTGTCCACATGGAGTTTTGATTTGCCAGATTAGTCAGTGTAAGACTACAAAGTAACATCTCTCAGTGATGCCACTAATTTTAAGAGCAAATTGCATGGAAAGTGGGGGCTGTCCACATGGAGTTTTGGTTTGCCAGATTAGTCAGTGTAAGACTACACAGTAACATCTCTCGGTGATGCCACTAATTTTAAGAGCAAATCGCGTAATATAGAAAGAAACCCAGAATATCCTATATGAAAAATCTGCATGTGTCTGCCTATAGATGTGAATTCTCCCCTGGCAGTGCTCTTGTCTCTGATGAGACATGTTTCTTGTCGCATGGCCCATGCAAGGGTTAGCGTCAGTCCGCTGGTTTCTGGGGACATCTCACGCCCATGAGGTGCCTTTTGTCAGAGAGCGGTTGTGGAGCTCCGGTTCCTTTGCCCCTCTCTGGGCAGCACAGGGGGATTGTACTCTTTTTTCGGTTCTGGCCTGAGTCACCATCAACCTGGGGCTGTGCTAGGTGACTTTATTTGTTTCTATTACCAAAAGTGCTAAAAGACTTTTTGAAGATCTGATCTTGCCATTTCTGTGTGTTTGGCCTACGCAGATTTTTGAAGGAAACAGTGAGAAAGAGATCCCAGTTCTCAATATGTTGCCGGTGCCGCTGGTTGCACGCTATATCCGTATAAACCCCCGGTCCTGGTTCGAAGAAGGTAGCATCTGTATGAGACTGGAAATCTTAGGGTGTCCTTTGCCAGGTAAGAGTCTTTCTCAGTTGATGTTGACATGGCTGCCTGTGCCAAGACTCAGAAATTTTATTTCCTTTGGATGTCTGTGCTTTTGGAATAATACCTGTCTTTAGTGAGTAGAGTTGTGCAAATAGAAACAAAAATATCTGTCCGGATACATGGACAGTGTCAGAATAACTCTTCAAATGTAACTGCATAGTATCTATAAGTGGCTTTATTAATAAAACAAAATTGCATGGATGATCTAACAAGATTTTCTCTGTTATTTGGGCTGAAATGCAGTGCAATTAATCTTACTGAGTGCGCATGTACTAGGGAGGCAACAGAATTACATATCGGAACAGTCACTTGGAGAAGTCTTAAGCTTCTGAGGCAAGAAAGGACCATTACAATTATGTGGTCTGATTTTTAATTATTTTTTTAAAATAGTATTTCATTGCACAGGCCATAGGATTTCCCTGAATCAATTTGAAGGCACATACCACAACTGAAGTAGTGCTGATCTTGTAGGGGGAGGGAGAGGAGTTGGGGATGTAAAGAATTTCTAGCAAATTTCAAATGTTGTTGAATCCAGCATGATCCCTGGTAGGTCTCAGGTGAAGGTAAATGGTCCTGTCCTTGGTAAAGACTGTGGAAAAGACACGACCTGACGTTTAGCACAAGCTTCAGGTGTTAGCTGTTTCTTTTATATGAGTGCAAAATACAATTTGTGTTTTGCTAAAAGGGATATAAGGTTTCACTTCGTATACAAGGCCGCTTTAAAAAAAAGGGCATTCAATACTGCAAATTATGGCAAAGCCATGTTTCTATTAAGCACATCGTAAATAGCCTTATGGTGGATTTTTGTCTACATGTGTATGTATGTATACAAATATTTGAAAAAACTGTTTGTTCAAACCTTTTCTAAGTTGCCCACTACTCATTCCACATCTTTCATCTGCTTTTTTTTTTTTCTCCTTTGATCTTAAATTCTGGCACCCTGGGCATAGCTCTCTCTTTTTTTTGCAGGGGGCTATGAATAGTATTTTCAGAAATACTAGAACCAGAAAGAGAACTGCCTTTCCAGAGCCTATCATTACTGCTTTAACTGTTCCTGCTGCTGTTCAGAGACTTGCTGCCTCCAATTCCACTGTTGATGTAGGGTCTTCACATGCCAAGCAGAGGTAGTCTGATTTTTGTCCTTTAGCTGCTTAAATATTCACGGGAAAACCAGAACAAAACAAAACAGTCCGGGGCACGGAAGGGATAATTCTCTGAAAAAGAGAAATATGGGGCAAGTATTGTCATAAACCTTTGTAGGTGTATTACCATGAAGCAGTGAAAGTTAGCAGCACTTAGACAACTACTTTTCTGAGGGTAACAAATACATCCTGGACTTGAATGGCAGTGACCAGGGGTGTCCTGTCTATGTAAATATTCATGTTTTCAGTAGGATTCTGATTTATTTCAACCATGGGCTTAGAAGACTCCAGCTCTGAGAGTTCCTTGCTTCCCACTGCACCTTTTACCCTGGAGGGGCAATTCCAGAGCCAGCGTTTCCCCTGAGCTCTTGGAATGACCGATGGGCTGTTGGAGAGCAGTGCTCTCTCCCAAATTCCTGCGCAGGTTTACAGAGGATTCGCTCTGTACACAGGGTGCGAGGCTGAAGGAAAAGCATAGCTTTCTTCAGCGCCGTGAATTTACCAGCACGCAGGACATGCACGGAGGTCTCCAGGGAATGAGAGAGATGACATTCAAACCATTT